GAGAGAGAGAGAGAGAGAGAGAGAGAGAGAGAGAGAGAGAGAGAGAGAGAGAGAGAGAGAGACCTGCAGCATGGAGCATGTCAGTAATGGGGAGCATATGGGCAGGCACTAACCTCGAAAAAGAAAGAAAAGGTAATGTCCTATTCGAATACAAGAGGCTTTTTCTTCAAATTAAGAATAGAAAACACACACGATGTATTCGAATACAACGTGTACGTAGCCGTTCTATGCGAGAAAAAAATGGACCAATGCTGTTTTGATTTTGAAATGTTCAACTCAAGGACCATGGCCTCCTCGGCAGTCTACGGGCAACTACCGGTCCTCCTCAAGCAACAACTGCCCGTTCCCCATGAATTGCACCCCCAACAAATTCAACAGCCTTCCAACTACCATTTAGACCCGAACGGAAGCCGGTATGACCAAGCAACAAAATTTTGTCTCAGGGGTATAAAATGCAACCCTGACGGGCTGCGAACAGAAAAGATCAAAGAGGATCATAGAAACCATCCGATCTTTCGCCCCGGACGACATGCATGGGCTACCTTGTGAACGAATAAACATAGGCCGCCTTGTGAACGAATAAACATAGGCTGCCTAGTGAGCGGATAAACATAGGCTGCGTTGTGAACGAATAAAACTATGAGCAACCGTCCGGAGGCTGCCTTCTGAACGGATAAGGCGGTGGGCAAACCTCCAGAGGGTGCGTTCTGAACGGATAAAAAAGCAACGCAGGCCTCCATTGGCTGCGTTCTGAACGAATAAAACGGCGTGCAACCCTCCGCTTACAACGTCACGAGGGCATGCGGTATGCTCGGGGGAAGAAGGTAACGAGCCATCATTCGAATCGAATTATCGAGGCCGAGTGGTCATTGGGGTGAGGATGTTGCGCTGGACTGGCGGGCCTGTCGCGTTAGGCAGAGGAGAGAAGCAGAGCGGCTACCAGCCGCGGTGGAGCTGGCAGGAATTATTATGACGTGATTTTCGCCGTGCGCACCTGCAGAGAGCAGAACAGGGTCCCTGGTAGTTGTGGTTGCAAGGAGGGGGGGTAGCCAAGTCGGAGGGTGCAGGTCGCGCGGGTGCGGGCGGACGTGCGGGCGTTCCGCAGGTGTTTGGGGGCAGGAGCGGGAGGTCACAACCCTCGCGGTGGCTGGTGGCACGCCCGCGGCGCTGTGTCGACCGAGCCGCTAGAGGTGCAGTGGTCGCGCAGCTGAGCGGCGCGGAGGGGGGTAGTGGAGCCTACCTTTTTTTTCTGCGCTCTTTGTTCAGGCGCATCTTGTCGTGTTGCGGCGGACAGCGGCGCAAGCGCAGCGCGGGCTGGGGACGTCCCCTGTGCTATCGTTCAACCTTTGCGATAAAGTGCCCAGGCGCGCGGCAGGGGTAGAGGCGGCTCCGGATATCGGTTTCCTCTTGTCTGTTGTGTTCTTCGCTCTCCACCCATACTCACTCTGCGAGCGTCGTCTCTCCGGCAGAGCGTGCGTTCGCCCCCTTCCTCTCTCTCCTCTCTCCTTTCTGTTGCCAGAGCGAGCGAGGGAGTTAGATTAGCAATGGCGTTGCCTGGGCAGCAGGTTCCTGAGAACTGTCCGAGCTTCAAGCTGATCATCGTTGGTGATGGGGGTACCGGGAAGACCACGTTCGTGAAGAGGCACCTGACGGGGGAGTTCGAGAAGAGGTATGAGCCGACGATTGGCGTGGAGGTGCATCCTCTGGATTTCTTCACGAATCGCGGCCAGATTCGTTTCTATTGCTGGGACACTGCTGGACAGGAGAAGTTTGGCGGGCTGCGCGATGGCTACTATATCCATGGCAACTGCGCTATCATCATGTTCGATGTCACTTCGAGATTGACATACAAGAACGTGCCGACATGGCATCGTGACCTGTGCCGTGTGTGCGAGAACATCCCGATCGTGTTGTGTGGAAACAAGGTTGATGTCAAGAACAGGCAGGTGAAAGCCAAGCAGGTCACTTTCCACAGGAAGAAGAACCTGCAGTACTACGAGATTTCTGCCAAGAGCAACTACAACTTTGAAAAGCCTTTTCTGTACCTCGCCCGTAAGTTGACCGGTGACCCCAATCTCCACTTTGTGGAATCCCCGGCGCTTGCGCCCCCGGAGGTCACAATCGACATCGAGCAGCAGAACAAGTACGAGGCGGAAATTGCTGCCGCCGCCGCACAGCCCCTGCCCGATGATGAGGATGAGCTATTGGACAGCTAGATTAGGTTTACCTCTTTCTCCTTTTGTTCTTCAGTGTTATTGTTTCTCCTCCTCTGTCCTTTTCGCCTAATTGGGCTTTGATTCCTTTCCTTTCTCCATGAGTTAGGTTTGTCTTTGTCAAGTTGTCCTTTGTCTTTTGTATTCTCTTCTACACTGTTATGTACCCGACCCGTTTTCTTGTTCCACTCTTCTCTTGATCTTCGTCGTTTGTCTCTTTCCTCAGACTTCGATCCGGGTCTCTCGAGGGCGCGATCGCGACCAGACCTGAAGAGGAAGCGGATCCAGCACGATGTGTGGGGACATGGGTCAGTGGGCTTGGCCGAGGCGAATGTGGTCGAGGTGGTAATGGGGGGAAGAGGCGGTCGTCCTTTCTTTGCCATGTGCGGGCTTCTATCGAAGTGATGAATGCCGCCCCGCTGTTAAGGGTTCTCTTGGAGACTTCTCGCTGAGGTCAGGTGTTTTAAGGTGCCTCATGGGGTGTGTTCTGTGAGACCCCTGGCTGATGTCAGGTGCTTTATTTTCTCTCATCAGAGGATGGGCGATGTGGTGGTCCCGGTTTATTTCCTACGTCGGCGCGTAGAAGCGAGAAGAAGCAGAGATTGAGCATCTACCAATGATCGCCCTGGCTTTCGACGTGATCTTTGCTGTCTGAATGCGTTTTGTTTTTGTCGTTCGGACCTAGTAGGTTAGGTTTCCTATCAGTAACCGTTGTTGTTGATTCAGCTTTCTTTGAACTCATGTTGACAACAACAAGAAGTGCGACGAGCTCCGAACAGGTGTAAGATTGGAGTTGTGTCTTTTGGAACTCGAAAAGTTTTGGAAATCTCTGGACAAGTCCAGCTCTGTGCTGTTATGTCGTTGAACGGTTGATGAGGTGTTTGTGTGGGGTGAATCTTTTGAGGATGATGACACGATATTGTCTCTGGGTTATTGTTACTGCCGCGTTTTGTAATTCTCGTTTTGCTGCTGGATGTTCCTCTTCGTGTTGCGTCGACCCTTGGTAGTTTGCTGGAGAGTAGGGTCTGGATACGGACTTGGGTCTTGGTTGGTCGTCGTTTCTCGTGTCATGAGTGGAAGCGGCAGTCGCCTGTGCGAAGCAAGGGATCTTAATCGAGGGCTTCGACATCCGATGAGAATCTCTTGTTGGAAGTTGGGAAGGATTTTTCTGACTGATTAACCACTCTATTGGCCTGGTTTTTGTGAACCCAACCTCTTTGTTAATCTCACTGAAGGAGTGATCTTGTAGGACTCGGATCTTCTTCAATACGCAAGATCTCTCTTCCCACGATCCAGTCACGGGTGTCGTTGTGTTCACCTGTTCGTCTATTGTCGGGTGTGTCATCACACTAATCAGTAATCGTTAGGTCTTGGATCTTGACAGGTGTGTTCTTTTTATGTTTGGCCTGGCGTTCGTTGTGTATACTATGTGCACTAGCGCGTCATCCTCAGTGTTCGTGAGCGCCGCTTTCTTGTTCGTCGGTTTGTCGTCAATCGTCGCCGTTGATAATCTATTGGTATCCCTAATCCTTAGTCTTCTAGGCATGATTCAAGTGGCTCTCTCGACGGAGAGACTTAAGTAACTTCCCGCGGGAAAGTGGTTCCCCCCGCTTTCGCCGCACGGAGAGACGAAATGACTTTTTGGTAAGTGCTTCCCCACGCTTGGCCGCGAAGCTAACGAGTATCGCACGTCGGAGACCTTGTGGCGTCTCTCCGGACTCTACGCGTCACTTCCCCCACTGTGTTTCTTTCGCTGATGGATTTGTTCTCTTTCCGGCTTCGTCTGACCCTCGCCTTCGTCTCATTTTCTCCTGAGTGCACCCTGCTCTTGGGCGTCGTTGTTTCTTCGCCTTCGTCTCGGTCTTCTCCTGAGTGCACCCTGCTCTCTGGCGTCGTTGGTTCCTCCAATTTTGTCTCGGTCTTTTTGTAGTGCGGCCTCCTTGGGTTTGTTGTGTTCTCTTCTGAATCGGGGGACAGCTCGCGTTCAATTCGGGGTGCGTTATGTTCAGGGGAAGACGCACCCTCGTTTTGAGGTTGCACCGGGAGCTACCGTCTTCCTTCGAACAGAACGCACCGTCTTTTTGGCAGTATCTGGCTGGAAATATCACTCGTATACATTCATTTTGAGGGTGGTTATGTTCGGGGGAAGACGGTAGTGTTTGGTACGTCAAATTCCAGGGCGTCACAAACGTGACCTTCCAGCGTCTATTTGATGTGGCGTGTTCTAGCCTGTCTGCTTGGGTGTCTCTTGTTGTCAGACGGTTTGATCTCACCCTCTGTTCACCCTCAGGGATATCCTCTTCTGTCATCGCGATACTGCCCCACCTTACGTCACGACCCACATCTTCGCCGCTCTGGCTGTTGCCCTCCTGCTGCCTGCCTTTGTTATCTGAGCCCTTCATTCTCTGTCTGATTTCGACTCTTCGTGCTTGGAGTATCTGTCGTCCTTGTCGTCGTAGGGTGCATTGTCGATCTCGCCTGTCGCCTGTGTGTACTCGCTCTTCGTCGGCTGTCCGCTGTGCCATCGCCCTCTGCCGTGTAGAGATCGTTCTCCTGTTTGGGATCTGTTTCTGATCTTTGATGCTATCGTCGTCCGGTCTAATCAGGGTGAGGTCCGCCGTGTTGAGAACCGTGCCCTTGCTGCGTTCGCCTTCGACAGCAGACTCTCTCGCCTGCCGCCCTGGCGCGCTCTCCCCTCGTCGTTCTTTGATTGTAGACTGTCTGGCGCCGGCGACTTGGGCCGGTCGTGGTTGTCTTCGCATTCGTACTCTGGCACTGTGGTGATGCACTTGATTTTTGTCTGTTTGCTTATCTCCTCTTCACGTCCTTTCCTATCATTCTTTTGCCTCGATGTCTCACCCTCTCCTCTGCATTCGGGACGAGTTCCTCTCTAATCATCATTCAGATCTATCCTAAGTCCTTTGCGTTCCCCTCTTGGTCCTCCACTCCCATTTCCCGTCTTCCATCCGCATTCGTGCCGTCGGAAAGTTATCTGTTTCTGCTTTATCGTGGTTTTATGTGAACACTCAGCGCACTGTTCCTCGATTTGTGATCTCTCTCGCTTTGGTCGATCTTCTCTTGTTTCTTTCTCATTCCATCCCGGTCCGAATGATATGGAGTCCATTTGATCATGTCATCCGTTTCCGACGCTTTGGTTCCTGATTCATATCCCGATCCTTTTTATTGTTATGGCGGTCGTTTTCTGCGACTGTCATCATTTGCGTACCCTCTGGTGTCAATTCCTTGCCTCAGCAGCTCATACCCTGGCATCAGGGACTTTCATATTCTGTCGCCCTCTCCTTCTGGAGTAGACTACGTCGTCGTCGTTACTTGATTGTTTATCTGGCAGTGTGACGATGCTATTTGCTTATCGCTCGATCCCTCATTTAGCCTTATGTCTGGCCTCTCCTTTTCGCGTCGTTGGTTATTTCACACAGTCTTGCGTATCCTCATCTCCTTGTCGACGTCCATTTCCATTTTGCGCCTTCTGCATCCCGTCTCGCTAGTCGGTTTTTTGTTTTGCCCTCATTGCTCTGTCCATCGACCTTTGATTTGTCCCTCCGGTGTGTTATCCTCTGTACTTGGGCGCTCTACTTGTTATGTCTATCTTGTGTCCGTTGTGCCACATTCCCACGCCTGTCCGTTGTGCCCCATTCCCACGCCTGGAGTTGGCCCGATCCTTAGTGCTTCCGCAGGGCCATTCGTTCGTTGTTGTACTCGATACGGACAGCTTTTCTACCCTTTAAGAGCCAACGTCACACCAGATATATCTTTTTTCCTCCGTTTCTCGCCCTGTTCTTGTTTCTTCCTAATGTCGTTCTATCTTCTCTATTTGTTTTAACTCCGAGGTCAGGTTCTCACGGCACCGATCTCAACAAGGTGGTGTTGAATCTGTGTAATCGACCACTGTTTTTTTTTGTTCCTCTTTTTTTCTCGTCCGTGACATCTGTCATATTTTCTGGGACATGCTCTGTTAGTCTCTTCTTGCTTGAATCCTTTCCCAAGTCGTTTTCTGCTTCCTTCGCCCGAATAGAACGACCGGCCGTTGTAGCTGTGTTTGGGGCTTTTCAGTCCAGATGCAGCGGCAATAAGCAGGCGTTGTATTCGGCTGAAGACGGTAGATTCTACGTGAGGTTTGTTTTTTTCACGTTCAATCTTGTCGATGTCGCTGAGTTTGTGTGCCAGTTGTTTTGTTGCACGATCTTTTGTTGCAGGCACGTCTTGTCTCGGTCTGTTGTATTTCTCTTGCGGAGGAAGTCGGAGGTACCGCGTGTGTTGTCCCCACTCTTGAAGGTCGTATCTGCGTCGGGGGTCTTTTCGTCCACTCTGGTTCTGCTTCTTGTGATGCTGACACTGATCCTATGCCCACTACTTATCAATCTAATGACGATGAAGACATTGTTGAATTATACTGACTCTAATGCATTTTTGTCGGATTTGTACTGACTTCATACTGACTATGAAGACATTGTTTGAATTATACTGACTGTATACATTACCTCTTTGCCTTTTGGCCCCGTGTGTGACACATGGGGATGGAGGCAGCCAGATCTCAGCCTGTCATTCAAAATCAGATCTCAGCCTGTTATCCACGTGGCTGGCCTTGTCCGGAAGAGGTGATGAACAGGTGGGGCTTTCCTTCCCGACTTATTTCTTTTCTTGATTTTGCTATTTTTTCCTTTGGTTTCCGATCTAGTGTGACAATAAATGTGTAAATACAGAATTGTATCTGTTTTGTTTGGCTGTTCCCTTCCTCTCTTCTTTGCCTCTTTGCCTTTTGGCTGTGTGCAAGTGGGTCGATATGACACATGGGGGTGGGGGCAGCGGCCGCTCAACATACATCCACGTGGGCGGCGTTGTACGCAAGAGGTTCTGAACAGGGGGAGTTGTAAGGAAGAAGATAAAAAACTGGATTCATTTTTTCCTGTTTATCTTTTTTTCGCATTTGCGTTCTGATATTCACGTGTTAATATATAAAATATCGATTTCATATATTTTGCATTCTATCAGTATAAAATATAAGTTCGTTTGCGATGTATCTGTGGAATGTATGATACAGATCCTATTCTGTACGGGTTGGGCAAATCTCTCGGTTATGGTTCCGCGTAACGTGTTGGGTGGGCATGGTTGTTTCCGTTTCTTATACGGCTCTCTTGCAGTGATGGGAATGTTTATTGTTGACGTTTCCCATCGTCGTGGTGTTTCTTCTGAGTCGGTTCTTGTGTTGGATTCTCGCTTGGAACGCTCCTTTCGCTTCCCCGTTTTTCTGCCGTTCGAGCTCTTGTATTTTTTGTATTCTCTCGGCTGAGCCACCGTGACATTCGATCTACCTTAGTTGCTTCGGTCTGCGCCTCCATAGGTGTGTTCGATCATGGAATAGAACGCTACCTGATGTCTTCTTCGCCCGAACAGAACGCACGGTCGCTGATTCTAACGTGCCCCGTTCCATGTATCGCCGTCTTCCTGCCGTTGCTGTGGTGTTCTCGGTTAGACCATCTTGGCATCCGATAGTATGTCATATGATGATGTGGTCCCCACCTACCGCATGATTCCGTGTTCGTTCGAATAGAACGACGGTGGTCACTGAGTGTGACTCGTGACTCAAGGGCAGGCGTTCTACGCGTTCTATTCGATCGAGTCGTTTAGTTCTGATGACGACGGTAGGGCAGGTGTTCTATTCGAGTGAAGACGATAAAGCAATACGCTCTAACGGCGTCTAACGGCGTCTAACGGCGCTCTGAACGAACAGATCGATTTTCGACTCCAGCTTTCCTTTTCACGTGCTTACTCCCAGGGAACACGTTTACGAGTGTGTTAACGGGCAGGTAGTGCTTTTTAGATTCGGCGATTCTGTCCGCTGATTGTAGGATTATCCTTCTCTCTCATTTCTCCGTTCTCTTCCTTTTCCTCGCTTTTCTCCCACTGCCTCTCTTTCCTCTTGCACCCTTTTCTCCTCTCTGCCTTTTCCATTTTCTCTGCGTAGTTCTGGGATTGTTTTGTTCTTTTTTTGGACGTGTTTGTTGTTGATTTTGTATACCTTTAATTATGGCTATCAGAATGCCCGTTTTTGCGGTGTGTGTATGCATGCGATCGTTTCTGACCACCGAGTGCAGCTTCGTTCTTCTCGTATGTGCCGCATGTTGCCGCAGTTCAGCGACGTTCCCTCTTTTCGACGAGTGGCGATACTCTCCTATTTTGCCGTGGTTCTTCTACCCCCGTGAACTGCAGAAATTACCCTGGTAAAACTCTGTGACTCTACGACACCAAGTTCGATTCCAGATGATCGACTTTGATCGAGTAAAACCAAATGTCATTAGAAAGAAAGAGATGTCGTACCCTGGTAAATCTTTGACTCTAGCACAGATCAGCGATGATCTCTGCTCTTATTGGAGATTAAGATTGAAAGGCTCCTCGGGCTTTTCCCTACCGCGAAGTATCTCTGCTTTTTTCTGTGTTTTTTGCACCCGTTCTCTGCTTTTTTCTTGTGCTTTCTGGCCCCGTTTTTCATGCGGGCACTCGATACGCGTATTAAACTACGGCGTAGCAGGCTAACCACGTAAGTGTGCAAGTGTCAGTGCATGGTCGCATGGTCGCCGACCGGTTTCTCTTTGCGGTCGAAGGGTGACCCCGAAATTGTTTTGCCGTGTCTTGTATCAGGAATCGCATGGTCATCAGTTGCGTGTGTGTGTGTGTGTGTGTTTAACAAAATCATATTTGTGTGTTGTGTGTTGTACTTCTGACGAAATTGAGCATAAATAATCGTTTTCACTTGTTTGGTTTTTGGAGCATCGCATTGTAAAGCGGCCTGCAATGCGATATGTAAACAAAGCGACGTCGTCGAACGTTTGTTTTTCGCTTTTCTATGACCCCAGTGGTGGTGTAGCACATTTGGGAACCACCGTTTTCACCGGAATAGAACGACCGGTAATGATTGCCGTATCTGGACTGAAAGTTGCACCGAATGCAGCTGAATGACCGGAATAGAACGCCCGGTAATTATTGCCGTATCTGGACTGAAAGTTGCACCGAATGCAGCTGCAATGACCGGGCGTTCTATTCGGGTGAAGACGGTAGCTCAGTTGCTAGGAAGCCTCGTCTACACCGAGAGAGCCCGCTTCGGCGAAGCCCGTTATTTTACCCAGATGGGAAAATAGCTCAGTCGGTTAGAGTGCGGCTCTTTCACGCCGGAAGTCGTGGGTTCAAATCCCGTTTTCCACGTGAGGTAGGGCTGAGTGGCTGTGGATCTACTTCTCATTAGTTGTGAGAACACATGCGTGGGCGGCTGTGTACACAAGTGTCTCATGCTGATAACCCTCAGGTAGTGCCTTTATCCTTTCTCTGTAAAATACAGCGATGTAGCTTTATATCCTATAAGACCGGAAAACAAGATACGACGAGTATAAGGGGGTGAACTCCTACTTCGTTGCACCCGATTTTACACAAGTGTCTCATCCTGACAACCCTCAGGTAGTGCCTTTCCTTTTTCTGTGAAATGCAGCAATGTAGCTTTATATCGTATAAGACCGGAGAACGAGATACGACGAGTGTAAGGGGGTTGACCCCTAGTTCGTTGCACCTGATTTTATCTCGAATCTAGCACATTAGAATGTGTGTAGCACCCCGTTACAGTGGCTGGACATTGGCTGGATGACTTACATGAGGTCGGTTCGAGTGCGAGCAGTGAAGCAAGCGTATGTTCTGCATTATAGGCAGTTCCCTGGGTGTATTTGGCCTCGTTTTGTTTGGTGAGGGTGGTGTAGTTCCGATTATGAAGTAGGGTGGTTGAGTTCCGATTATGAATTTAAGGGTTGAAGCACGCATCTTACCATAATTCTTTGAAAGCGAGGCCTTGTAAATTCAAGTAATGGCTGCGTTTTACGACAACAGTAAAAAGGGGTGCGGTGTAGATTTTACGAGCGCCCTGCCCCCTTTACACAGGCGGTTGTGACCGGTAGTTGTAAGCACCTGGGGTGTCAGATGGAATGTGCGCACAGGATGCTTCTGAACACACGTTTTGTTTCGTCTTTTCTCTACAATTTGAGGAAGTCGAACCTGGGCAATGCTAGATGTGCTTGTCAAGTTGGTAGGCGGTTGTAGAGACTCGTATGCCTTCAGAGCCGTGGTGTTATTACTTTTTGTTCTTTTTTTTCATTATTACATTTTGAATTGTAAGTGTTAACATTCCGATGGTGTGAAGTACGCAGAATTTCGAAAAAAAAAAAAAAGAAGTATGCGGAATTCTCAGCATGGGGCGATGAGGGTTTGAGGTCCCTATGATTGGAGCGCGCGTTGTCTTTTTCCCGATTTCAGATATTCTCGTTTCTAGGATAGCGGAGCTGCTATGTTGTCCCGTGACAGGTTTCTAGCCGCTGCTCTCCTTCTTGCTATTCCTGTTTGGCTCTCCTCTTTGCTCACCCATCTAGTGCTTTGTTTGTGCTGTTTCGTGTCTGCCCTTCTTTGTAAATTAGAGTTTCCTTCTCTATCTTGCGCTCGCTTTTGGACAGCCTCGTGATTTTGCTTTTTTTTATTGAACAAGGCCGTGACACTTTGCATCGTTGCCCTCTTGTTTGTGTAGGGAATAATATACTGCCCCTCGTCCTGTTACAGTTTTGATAAAACTGCGATGACGGTGTTGACACTTTGCATTGTTGCCCTCCTGTAGGGTAAGTTGTACTTGAAATCCGACCTGTTTGTTGCCTGTCCCCGCCGACTGTCGTCGTCATCATTTCTTTACTGTGACCTTGCCTTTCGTACACACAACACTAGCGGGTTGAGGATCTGTGTTTCTGTTGTGTTTCTGTTTTCTCTTGTCCTGCGATATGGTATGTGATTCTCGGATATAAACCACCAGTGTGCACCTGGGCCTGGAGGCGCTGTACTGCGCACCAAGCTCTCCTGAATTGTTAGCAATTTTTGCTTTTTCGGCTTGTGATCTGGTAAGAAGCCTGGAAAAGACCGGAGGTGGCTGCACGACCGTGTACTGGCGGCTGGCGGCTTAAGCAATTGGTAGATGCCATGCCCGTCTGTGGAGTATAGCCTTCCTCTGCTAACGAAACAGTTTGTCACAGCCCCTCTGTGTCAAGAGAGAGAGAGAGAGAGAGAGAGAGAGAGAGATTGTCGCAGCCCCTCTGTTTCACGAGAGAGAGAGAGAGAGAGAGAGTGTGTCACAGCCCCTCTGTTTGTCGTTGATTCAGCCTCCTGATGAAGCGGTCTGCCACAGCCCCCTGTCTGTTGTCCTCTTATCCGTCCCTGCGAAGGGTGGGGTTCAAATTAACTGCATTAGATATTAACTCCAGACAGATTAGAATTTTAAGCATATTTTGACTTGTATTCTCTGGACTGCCCCTTGTCCCACAGGGGATTGAGTGAAGTTTTCTGTATGCCAGAGAAGATTTCACCTGTACCGCCTCTTGTCTTATACCTCGATTGACCGGGCAGTTCTATTCGAGGATAAACAGAACAAGGCAGTTGCTGGTGGTGATGTGCTATTGCATCTTTATGGTAGCACAGGTCTACGATGTGTTTTGGAGCACCAGAACAGGGGTGAGGGTTCTGCCTATACGAGGTTACGAGTGAGAGAGTGGCTGAGAGGTTGAAAGGTTGAAAACCAACCAGCCCTTGTTCGTTGTCATTTTCCCGCACGAGTGCATGCGGTCACTTCTGTGTGACCAGATGCGCCTGCATGTGCGTGTTTGTGTGTGCATGGATATATTTCATGGGAGGTGTAGGGAGGGAGGGGTTACGCGGCGGTGTATGTTGTGCGGCCATATCGCTGCGCGCTCCTTCAGTATTTTACCATCCGTGGGGGGATTAATAACCACTCCGCAGGTGTTGGTCATGCATCCCGAGTCCTACCCAAGTTTCAGAGGCGTGCCCATTGTGTGGGGAAAGGAGATAACGCAGAACGATGTTGTGGAGACTGCTGACGTATGAGCGGATTTAGGCAGAGAAACAAAAAAAAACAGAAACACACACACACACACACACACACACACACAGGCATTGCATGCATGGACAAGGCCAGGTTCTTATAGCAAGGCAGGGCAGCAGGGTTGATACAGGTGGTGGGGTGGGGGTGGGGGGGGAGGGGGGCAAACGAAGGGAAGAATGGGCATCACGTTCCCGTGAACATGGTGGTGCTACCATACAGAGCAAGGCACGTGGACGTGCAGGTGGGCGGGGGGGCTGCAGGTGGGTGGGGGTTGGGGGCGCACAACGAAATAGGAAGGGGTGCCTTTTTCTAACCAACCGTAGCCGTTGCAGCCGTCGGGCCTGGTGGTGCCAGCTACATGTGCCTATGTGCATTATCGCATACCCCTTTATGCAGTGGCGAGCGTCCTCTTTTTTTTTTTTTTTTTTTTTTTTTTTTGATTGCCTGGTCGAGGAGTGGTCTCAGAAGACTCTTACATTTTTCATCCAAATTCAATGAATGGTCGTTATTGCTGTATTTGGAGAAAAGATACCCCAAGCACAGCTTCAATGACCCTATGCTCTATTCGCGGGTGAAAAATATAGTGGCACTTGCAATACTGTGCCCCGTCTCTGGTGCCATTCATCTTGCAGGGCGAACCTGACCGGGGCGCTGTGTTAGTGGGCGTGGCAGCATGGGGGAATAATTGGGGCGTGGCAGTGCTGAATCAAAATTCTCTCACCGTGTATAATATCTGTAACAGGGTAAAAGCAAAAAAAAAAAAAAAAACCCAGCATAGTATGTCCTTTAAGACGTCCGTTAAAATTGGAACGATACAGAGAATGAAAATGAGCATGGCCCCTGTGCAAGCATGCTACGCATAAATTGAGAAACGGTTTCGAAAAAATAAAATAAAGAGAAAACTACGACGCAGTCAGGGTTACAGTTTGTAATTGCGATTGAAACTGCGTTTTAGCAGTTTAGTCAGGGCCCCAGTTGCAATTGCATTTGAAACTGCTTTTAGCAGTTCGAAACTCGGGCTGGCTTTTTCTAGCAGTTCAGTCAGGCACATGGACGTTTTTTTTTTTTTTTTTTTTTTTTTTTTTTTTTTGGTCGGTCGCGTGCCGCCCCCCCCCGCGGCTGGAAAAAAAAAAAAAAGAAGCCCCATGGTTAGGCCACGACCGAGATGTCTCAGCCAGACTGGCCACGGCCGAGATGTCTCGGCCACAGCCGAGATTCGCAGGCACTGCCCTTCACAGGCTAACGCGAAGTCTCAAGAGTAGCCTACTCCGAAGAAGTGGGGGGCTCGGGGCAGGGATGGAGGCCAAAAAAAGGAAAAAGAAAAAGAAGAAATAAAAAAGTAGAGAAACGAGGAACTTCGAATCCACCTACGTCCAGAAGGTCCT